ATGGCTATGATGACTGGTGTGTTGTTAATATAAAATGTAGGATTCAATGGTTATGACTGGGATGTTGTTAATATAAAATGTAGGATTTAAATGGCTATGATGACTGGTGTGTTGTTAATATAAAATGTAGGATTCAATGGTTACGACTGGGATGTTGTTAATATAAAATGTAGGATTTAAATGGCTATGATGACTGGTGTGTTGTTAATATAAAATGTAGGATTCATTCGCACCAATCGTAACAATCAGGACTGAGACTTGCAACGCGCTCAGGTATTGTACACGTTCCACCTTTCCGCGAGCAGTCTCTGGTCTCAAAAGGGTGGGGGTGGGGGGCGGGGCGGTGAGTCTTGGGTGGAAGGGGGGACAACGATTTCTTGACAACAGCTATTCCCTACAAAAAACTGAAGCACGCTCGCTCGCCAGATTGTGCTAACATCGTAAATCATAATATCCCTCAAATCAGTCCAATGACATCCACCCCCACCCCACCACCACCCCCACCCCCTTATTTCCTCAGTCAAACACGGTTGTATCATCTAGTAATTCAGATGCTTGGGGTTTTAAAAAAAATGGCACAAGTTCTGTTACAAGTTCGGTATCTAAAAAAAATACGGAATCAGCCATTCCGATACACCCGAAAGCAAATCTAACATTAGAGCACTACAATGTTAATGTTAATACATGTTAATGAGTCACGTAGCCAGGTGTCACGTTAGGACGGAATCACACAGCCAAGTCTACGATTCACTCTTAGTAATCGTGACAGGGACAGCGTGTTAGTACCGAGTCACACAGCAAAATGGGGGGGGGGGTAGTGTTAGTCCTGTTTAACACTTGTAGGTTTAAGGCATTTAAATGACAGGTGTCACGTTAGGACGGAATCACACAGCCAAGTCTACGATTCACTCTTAGTAATCGTGACAGGGACAGCGTGTTAGTACCGAGTCACACAGCAAAATGGGGGGGGGGTAGTGTTAGTCCTGATTAACACTTGTAGGCTTAAGGCATTTAAATGATAATATAGAAGTTACCAGTGCTAAGAGTCTTGCGGGAACGCACGGGAACGGCGTTCCCGTGTATTTTTTTCCCAAAGATATGATCATATTTTTATTTAGGGATAGGGGGATCTTTAGTGATTTTTTCCACATTTTTTCCCCAGGACTTGACCCCTGGAAGTTAACAGTCTGGAATTATTTTTTTGTTAAGCATTCGTCAACCTTTTCATCAGATACACGTGAAGCTGTGGCGTAGGGTGACAGTGGTGTGTCGTTCGGGAGATAAATGACATTTGCCCTGTGTCAGTTGGTCTCTGCCAGGTTTTATTACAGGGTCAAGGACCAAGTGACGTCTAGTATAAATAAATAAACATTTTTTTCCTGCTAAGCCCTGGGCAATAAATTATTATATTTTTTTTTTTTTAAAACGGTACAGAATTTCCGTGAAAAATTCTTACTCTCATTCAACGTGTCTGAAACCAGTCCTGCACTAAACATTCAAGACGGTTGTGAATTTTAAAAACTGTAATTAACCTTCGTAAGTACCGAAATATTAATTTAAAATGTTTTTTACCGAGAAAGTATCACAGTTCATTGGACAGAATTACAAACAAGTCTGTATTTAATGTAATGGTTGCTTCATTGTCAAGAATTGACTGATTCTTTGTTCAAATTTTATCAGGATTTCCTCTGGTTTTTTGTTTTTTTTATCATTTGCTCAACTTCCGTTTCTTTAAATAACGCCATGTGACTGAAACCGTAGTCTTACCAAATTTAAATGTTCATGAAATGTAAATCAAGGTGCATTTCCAGAAAACAACCCAAAATCTATCTCTTTAAGAAATATTGAACAACATTTTAAGATATAAGTTTTTAATAAAAATTGCACTTCTGGAATATAATCGATGTTTAGGCCTACATTTACGTAATCAATTTCTTGACCTACATTTGAATATAAATCGATTATTAGTCCTTCATTTATATATATACGATTATTAGACATTGATTTAAAGCCTATATTCTATTATTAGACCTACATTATATATTCATTTATAAATATGATTATAAGTTTTACATTTATATATTCTACAATATATATTCGATAATTATATCTACATTTTAGTCTTAAGTGATCAGTTTTTACGTCACATTGTTTCATCAGCTTGATGGTGTTGCTGTGTGTTCAGTTGTTTCATTGACTAGATGCGGTGCTGTTTACCAATGAGATGCGTTGGCTAGATACAGTGCTGTTTACAAATGGGAATTCATTGGCTAGATACAGTGCTTTTTACAAATGAGAATTCATTGGCTTGATATAGTGCTGTTTACAAATGGGAATTCATTGGCCAGATACAGTGCTGTTTACAAATGGGAATTCATTGGCTAGATACAGTGCTGTTTACAAATGGGAATTCATAGACTAGATGCAGTGCTGTTTACAAATGCAATTGTTACGATGCATTGGGGTGACACTCCGCTCTTGTGACACCCCACTCAAGTGACACCACACTCTGGTGACACCACACTCTGGCGACACCACACTCTGGTGACACCACACTCTGGTGACACCCCACTCTGGTAACACCCCACTATGGCGACACCACACTCTGGTGACACCACACTCTGGTGACACTCCACTCTGGTGACATTCCACTCTGGTGACACTGCACTCTGGTGACACTGCACTCTGGTGATACCCCACTCTGGTGGCACCCCGCTTGCGGCCCAACCTGAGCTGGTGGCGTCCTGTTCTTGTATTTAACTACATTCGGTTATCCAACTGTTTCTCTAAGATCTTGTTCTGTGCAAATCTGCAATGCAAACAATGCGCCTTGTTACAAGTCATCCATTCCGAGCTTGTGTACCTGCCACGAGAAAATTTGCCGCGATTCACTTCTATAACTCTACCAAGTGACTTAACACGTAAACACACAGCAGATGGCTAGAACACCACTTAGCCATGTGAAGTGATGACGTAGCTAGGGTTAGTAACACCTGGGGTGGGCCAAGATTTTTACCGCCCCACCCAATATAAAAAAAAAAAAAGAGTTCCGCATTTGGCCTTAAATACAGCCCCCCCACCCCCAAAAAGGGGGCCGCCTGTGGTTAACCACCTCCTTAGCCCCCTCCCTTTTTTTACGTTACTGATGTGATTCAGCCAACACGTAAATAGCCAAGGTTAAGATGTCATCAGCAGAGAGCTAATGTAAGGCTGTCAACTCTATATGGTCCATGCCTCATACTCTAACAATGGCACTTTCAGCCAACAGGTCGTCAATGTAAAGAGGTCAGCCGTCATGGGGTCGATCCGTCGGCCAGCAGATCTAGAATGTAAAGCTGTAAGCCACCAGTTGGAAAATGGAAAGCTATCGTACTGTAGCAGGGGGCAAACGTAACGCTTTCAGCCAGTAGATGTAGAATGTAAAGCTGTAAGCCACCAGTTGGAAAATGGAAAGCTATCGTACTGTAGCAGGGGGCAAACGTAACGCTTTCAGCCAGTAGATGTAGAATGTAAAGCTGTAAGCCACCAGTTGGAAAATGGAAAGCTAACGTACTGTAGCAAGTGGCAAACGTAACGCTTTCAGCCAGTAGATGTAGAATGTAAAGCTGTAAAACAGTTCATGGACAATTAGATTCTAAGATTCTAATTATAATTATTATTTTTTTTATGAAACGTGTCTCATTTTTTTTATTTAAATTTATTCACTCTCATCTCCACCAAAGTCGTGAATTTCGGCTGACAAAATATGCTCTCTAAACCTGTAACATACCACATACAAAGAAAGCTTTTCTTTTTTTTCTTGGCAACACGCTGTGACAGAGGGTCGTGTCTACATGCCAGCTATCAGTTATGTGTAATGGGAGGACAAGGCAACGTTTCAAATGCTCCGTCTTTTCTTCCGGCCTCTCATTTAAATCTAAGCCAGGCGTTTTTGGTTTACTTTCGGCTTGCTTTCCCCACCCACACCCCCGGTCACGCCCACCCCCGGTCACGCCCACCCCGGCCACGCCCACCCCCAGCCACGCCCCCCCCCCAACTCTTTCCCTCTTTATGTTCGCTCATTATAAAGTTAAATGGTGTTACAGAATGCGTTGAATCTGTGAAAGTAATCGATGAGTGCTGGGAGTGTCTTACCGAGCCAGGAATGGCAGACGTGACCTATCACAAATTGCGGCGTTGTTGTGTTTTGTTTGTTTTTTTAAAGTGGAGTTGGCGGGAGGGGGTGGTGCAGATATATGACCATACGTGTGCAGGGTGGCCGGGCGGTCTAAACTGTCCCAAAAAAATAGCTGGTGGTCTGGAGTTCAATCCCCACCAAAGCCAACTTCCCAAGCACCTTGGGTGGATGGGACTCGCTAGCCCTGGACGGCAACCCATTATTTCATTTGAATTTTAAAATTATTTTTCGCAAAATGACTATGGAACAAGATGGATCCTACTGATTTAAATAAATATAGTGTTTTTTGTTGTTGTTTTTTTTCTCTCTGGAGGCGGTGTACATTTAAATGCTAAATCGGGTTACACAGTGTCATCTTTTTCTAAATGGTATTTTTTTTAGGTCGCTCGAAATAAGGTATTTTTTTCACTTTACCACTTATGAAAGTATGTTTGCTGAAATTTCGAACCCCTTAGCGAAAACAGATGGCGGCACGACTTCCTTGAAAATAGTTTACGTTTCAGAACAGTGCACATGTGTGTTGTATTATTTCTCACTTTTAATTAATATTATTTTTTATTTTTTTTACTACAGAAAGTTGTAAGCCAAAACAAATTTTGTGTACAATGTGTACACATATTTCTATATCTAATGAATAACCGGGACTTGTTGATTAAAGCTCGATAACATATTCAAAAACCCTAAGTTCTAAAATCAAACCGAATTTTTCAATCCCTTTCGGAAACTATAATAATATTTTAAAAAACCGGATGGCTAGCAAGGTTCCCTCCAAGGTTTGTTGGTTCGTGTGCAAAATCATCAAGTTGTCTGCACATTTTACAGCCTACTGACACAAACACACCCTTAAGTGGAAATTAGCTGTGCGGTACTCTAAACTGCTGCGCGGTACTCAAAACTGCTGCGCGGCGTCTGTGAGATTAGTGCGCGGCCACGCAGCCGCCCAGCTTAAAGGGAACATTGATGGCTAGATACTTATAAAAATTATCATTTGATTGACTGTGAAATGTACTCGTGAAGGGTGAATCGTTGGCAGTAGTCTCCCAGTTTCTCTGGATTCAGACATAACGTTGGCGCGTGTTTTGGTTTGTACGAGTGGCGGAGTCATCAAGGAGTTCTTCGGCCAATAGGTTCATGTTTATTTGGATGCTGGCTGTTTTAGGGTGGACGCGGTGATCATAAGCACCGTGTCACCTTACTAAACACGTATTTCTTTTTGTTTTGTTCAACTGAACAGAAATGGCGCTGACCCGGCCAGAACGACTTGCCGCCTTCCGTAAGATGGCTGAGATTGGACTTGTGGTAAAAGTAGTCCTAGTCATGACGTCGCTGCAACCAGTGCAAAACGTGGACATTGATGCTGTCTCTTTTCAGTGAGAAATATATCTATTTTTTAAAACATTTTTTTTTCTTAAAAATATACAAAACCCCGTAGTTCAGCCCTTATAGGACGCCAATGGTTACTAATTGTATGCATGTCATTGTCCTTTAACCAAACCTTAAGTCACATTAAGTCCAACTCCAGACATTGTCACGTCACCAGTCTGTTCCCACTTCTCCTTTTGCACGTTCTCCAATTCTTGTTCTTCATGTCAGCACTAAACTCATCTTTGTTTTCCTCTCTCTCCCTTTCTCTTTCTCTCTCTCTCTCTCTCTCTCTCTCTCTCTCTCTCTCTCTCTCTCTCTCTCTCTCTCCCTCTCTCTCTCTCTCCCCCTCTCTTTCTCTCTCTCTCTCTCTCTCTCTCTCTCTCTAATCCGCCCACCTATCCATCCCTTTTATCCGCCCACCTATCCATCCCTTTTATCCGCCCACCTATCCATCCCTTTTATCCGCCCACCTATCCATCCCTTTTATCCGCCCACCTATCCATCCCTTTCTCTCACTCTCACCCAATCTTTCTCTCTTTCTATCTCTCTTTCTATCTCTCTCTTTTTCTCTCTTTTTCTCTCTCTTCCATCTCTCCCTCCCCTTCTCCCCCTCGCTCTCTCTCTCCCTCTCTCTTTCTTTCTCTCTCTCCCTCCCCTATCTCTCTCTGACTCTCTCTTTTTTCTCTTTCTCTCTCTCTCTCTCTTTCTTTCTCTCCCCCCTCCCCTTCACCCCTGGGCCATATTTATAACGATATCGTCTGTTTCCTCACGTCGTCCAGACTTCCGTCACCACCATTACTAGCGGGGAGCCTGGAAACCAACAACTTCCTTCTGGATGCTGAGCGAGTTCACGAGGGCATTGTGGGATCGCCCAGCAGTTACGTCTTCTATAGAGGTGAGTGGTAAACACTGGCTTTATAACGTCTTCTATGGAGGTGAGTAGTAAACACTGGCTTTATAACGTCTTCTATAGAGGTGAGTGGTAAACACTGGCCATATAACGTCTTCTATACAGGTGAGTGGTAAACACTGGCTTTATAACGTCTTCTTTGGAGATGAGTGGTAAACACTGGCTTTATAACGTCTTCTATAGAGGTGAGTGGTAAACAATGGCTTTATGTCTTCCATGGAGGTAAGTGGTAAACACTGGCTTTATAACGTCTTCCATGGATGTGAGTGGTAAACACTTGCTGTATACATAGAGTTCACCATTGAGAGTATGTCCGTGAGTTTCATCTCTATATAACCTATACGAACGGATGGTTCATCATGTTATTCGGGTAATAAACTTATTTTTTTAAAAAGTACAGCGTTCAATTTAACACGGGTAATTACGTGTATATCAGTAAGTAAATCGTGTAGAAAAAGAAGTCGGCAACCTACGGCACGCGTGCCAGAGGTAACACGCATAGCTATTTTCAGTGACCAAAAAAACATTGTAACTAGTATATTATATACGTCCTAAATGGTAAACTAATTTTGTTTCGCACGTCGAATGAATTAGAATTCTTAGGTACGCTAATAACAAAATATTTTCGACCCATGGTCTAGAATCTAGAATATCCCACGGTCAGTGGACTGAGAAATATGATTGGTTGAGAATGCAAGGACCGAAAGTCGCCAAGCTTTAACACGTGGGAAAATTATATATAGATATATTTTTTTACCAATTAAAATATATACATGCCAAGTCACAGTGAGCTTTATAGAGTAGATGTCTTTCTAACAAATGACGAATACTATCGTTTATACAAAATGGTGGCTTCCCTTTGTACCAATCGGAAAGTGTCTGGTCAATTTAAAAATCCAACCTATTAGAAGCCCCCTTATCTTTTCTCTTGTTGTACCTGGCTGAAAGAGCATCGACGGACAGAGCACTTCCCGAACAGCTCGGATTTACAGATGAGAGTTAAACAATGAAGCTGTCTGTGGGGGAAAAAAACAACAACCTGGAGTTCGTCAGGGGAAACGCTGAGGTCGGCTCCACTGCCATCTGCTTCCCATGTGTTCAGTTCTAGTTTCGTTTCGGTGTGATGCGTCCGCGTTTCAAACCACCCCAACGAATGTATCTCCTTATGAAAGAGCACTCAATTTGATGTTTTGGGTCCCACAGATGACATCTTCGCCGTGACCGCGGGGGGCCTGGTGGTCAACGTAGCCCCGTGCAGACCGGTGACCATAGCCGCGCTGTCTCCCAGGGGATGCCGTGAGTATTCGATCTTTGCCTGTCCGGACAAAGAAGACCTCTATTCATTATAGGCTTATTATAATATACAATACACATACTTTTTAAAAATAAAGTTTGTATTCGTCTTGTCAATTGTATACAACATGTTACGTATCCTTAAATGTTTCAATATTACAACAACGATATCAAATCAACGAGTGTATATACATTGGGAGTCTAAATTATTTAGGTTATTTGGAGGCGTCATAGCGCGTGGTAGAAAGTAGAAATGTTTGGATTCTAAAGTGTGTTGTTTACTTAATATCTCAGGCTCATAATTCCTGCCTAATTTAATCAAGTATGGGTTGACCTTAACTTCAGTGGACCTAGGGTATCCTAGCACGGGAGTTTACTGGCATAACATTTGATTACACCAACATAGCATTTGAATACACCAACATAGCATTTGATTACGCCAACATAAATTTCGATTACGCCAACACAACATTTGATTACACCAACATAGCATTTGATTACGTCAACATAACTTTCGATTACGCCAACACAACATTTGATTACACCAACACAACATTTGGAAATACCAACATAACATTTGATTACGCCAACATAATATTTGAATACACCAACATAACATTTGATTACACCAACATAACATTTGATAACACCAACATAAAATTTATTTACAACAATAAAGCTTTTTTAAGAATATGAGCATAAATATGTGTATTAACTTATTTCATTCGTATTTTTTTCCTGTGTCTATCTTCAAGGCACCGTGAAGGAATGTGGCCATCTGATAAGTATCCGTCTCAACTCGGACAATTTGCTTGTTGTGTTGGACGCCTACAGGGGTTTATTTGAGGTGCACCCTGTCACAGGTACCTTTGTTCCTCCCACCCTGTCACAGGTACATTTGTTCTTCCCACCTTGTTACAGGTACATTTGTTCTTCCCACCCTGTCACATTTGTTCTCCCATCTTGTCGCAGATACATTTGTTCTTCCCATCTTGTCATAGGTACATTTGTTCTATCCACACTGTCACGGGTAATGTGCACTGTTCAACCCTAGTGAAACACATAGACATACATTGCTAAACACTAACTGTCACCAGTAGCTTTTTATATCTATCCTTATACGGTTGGTTTTATTTTTTAATCTACTTGTTAAATTTTTGTTAGCTAATTTTTTTTTCATATTTCTGGAATTATTATCGATACACACCCGATTAATATTTTTTTAATGTATTACCCGAACAGCGCTTCTGAAAAATCGTAAATACCCGACAGTAATAAAAAAATAAATATAGATCTATCACATATTACAATTCTCTAAGTATATATGTCTGGCTGTAACGTTGTGTTAAATAAGCGCGCAAAACGAAATTTCCAGAAATTAGCACTAATTGGGAATCTTATAAATTTGCGTTACTTGAATGCCTGTTTTTTTTTTTTTGTATTAACTTGAGTGGATGGGAAGATTACGCACTTCCACTGCCATAGTTGGCGCTTTTTAAATTATTTTTTTACATTTTAGAACAATTTAAACCAACTTGGTAAAGACACCACGAAATGGTGTTAGGTGTTGTTTTCAATGTGATGCTGGTGATATCTCACACAGGCGTGGCACGCCACCTGTACAACTCCAACACGCTGGTCAACGGCAGGGCCAGCGTTTATCTCAACGACATGGTGTTAATGCAGGATGGTACCATCATCGTCAGCGACTCGAGTCCAACGTTCGACTTCGCTAATGAATTTTGGATACGGTTTGAAGGCAGGCCGGACGGAAGGTTTGTAGATTTTTCTTAAAATTATACATCTGGTTTATTGACCCACCAACCCCCTGCCCTACAAACCCATTAACTATATATCATCAACCTCCTCCTTCTTACTCCCCCCATACCTCTCCCCTTAACCCCTCCCCACCAACCCCATCCCCAACAACCCCATCCCCAACAACCCAATCCCAAACAACCCCATCCCCAACAACCCCATCCCCAACAACCCCGTCCCCAACAACCCCATCCCCAACAACCCCATCCCAAACAACCCCATCCCCAACAACCCCCTCCCCAACAACCCCGTCCCCAACAACCCCATCCCAAAACATCCATCCCCAACAACCCCGTCCTCAACAACCCCATCCCGAACAACCCCATCCCCAACAACCCCGTCCCCAACAACCCCGTCCCCAACAACCCCATCCCAAACAACCCCATCCCCAACAACCCAACCCCCAACAACCCCCCTCTCCAACAACTCCCTCTCTCAACAACGTCACTCCGTAAAAACAACGACGCACTAACACCAACACCAACACACATGCTGGTTCATTCTCTCACATTTGTTTTCTCCTCAGACTGTTGGGATACAACCCTGTCAGTGGTCAAGCCAAAGAGATCATGTCTGGCCTGGCCTACCCAACAGGCCTGGAGATCACATCTGACAAACAAGCGCTGTTGGTGGCTGAGGCGGGGAGAGCTAGGATTATCAGGTACACATCTCTATTTTTAGAGTTGTTTTCTGACGAGTAACGTGAGTAGCTGACAACACCGGGTAACACGCCTTCAGAAGGATGACACCAAATGGAAAATAGCAGATTTGACAGAACGCTTGAGTCGTTCACATAACAGATCCGAGTTAATTACAAGAACAGGGTGTGACGCGACATGGTGTGGTGCCGCCAGATCATGCTGACTCGAAAAACAATATGGGGGGAGTTGGGCGGGGGGGGGGGAGAGACGGGAGGTACCCATGTGTAACTTGGTGACACCAACACTAGTGACACCAAACCTAGTGACACCAACCCTAGTGACACCAACCCTATTGACAGGCGTTTATTATTTTGACACCTGTCAACTTTCATTTTCGTAATATATTTGGAATCCTTTGGAGCCCCGGCCTAACATTATAGGGCTCCATCCATTAATTATAGAACTAGGTCGTTCATAGACATAGTATATATACTTGTTAAATGATATGTCATTTTAATCGCCCCCCGCCCCCCCCCCCCCACAAAAACATTTTAAAAAATGAGGCTAGATAAATCGGTTACTCCATGCTGCAGTCTTGAGTCAGCTTAATTGTTTATCCGCCAATTGATATATATGTGACTGGAACGGTTATATAATGCATTTGTTAATGTGATTATAACAATGACTTGCACGAGTCAAATTTCCCTTGACGATATCTTACTGTCACAATTGTTATTATTATTTTTGTTGTCAATTTCTCTTCTGTTGTTAGGGTTGAACTGAGCAAAGACAAGTTCTTCCAAAAATCAAACTTCAACGGGAATCTTCCCGGCATGCCTGAGCACATCAGGAAGTCCAAGCACGGCACTTACTGGGTCGGCCTCACCTACCCGAGATACCAGGGCGAGGTGTCTGTGATGGACCAGTATTCCCACATGGCGACTTCCCGAAACTACTTGGCCAAGGTAAAGGTCACCAACTTTGCAATTCAACGGATTTTAAAATATTTTTTTACAAGTTGAGTTACAATTGATTTAATCGCCGAGTTTCAATCGAGGGTGATCTGGGGGCCACGACTGAATACGTTAATTTAGGGTGTGTGTGTGTTGGGGGGGGGGGTTCTTTCTCATTCATCTTCCTTTCTCCGTCCTGGAGGTTAGGTGAAGTAGCATACACATTTGATGAAATAGCATACGCATTCGATGAAATAGCATACACATTCGATGAAATAGCATACACATTTGATGAAATAGCATACGCATTTGAGGAAATAGCATACGCATACGATGAAATAGCATACACATTTGATGAAATAACATACACATTTGATGAAATAGTTTACACATTTGATGAAATAACATACACATTTGATGAAAATAACATGCGTATTTGATGAAATAGTTTACACATTTGATGAAATAACATGCACATTTGATGAAATAACATACACATTTGATGAAATAGCATACACATTTGATGAAATAGCATACACATTTGAGGAAATAGCATACACATTCCATGAAATAGCAAACACATTCCATGAAATAGCATACACATTCCATGAAATAGCATACACATTTGAAAGACATCACATTACTACCCGGTTGTTGCTATAAATGTTAAGAATCGGTTCTTGTTGTTTCTTCCTTCCCTTTTTATAATTTCTTTTTAGCAAACCGTTTATCGGTTTTAGGAATTCGGTTATAAAACCAGTTTTAGCTTTCTACAATGCATTCCTTGAACTGTTATTCTCAAAAAGCTCAGATTGACATATTTTTTTTTACAAGATCCAAACTCCAACAGTTGGAAAACGGTCAACGCAATCTCATTTTGATTAGTGACGGGGGTAGTAGCCCTGATAACTACGGTACTGATCAAAGTTATTAAAATAAAACATTTAAATTCAATTTCGTTCACATAATGTAATGAATGCCTAAAGTTTATCATGTGAAATTAAGTATTTCTTTCAGTGGTGGAACGAGGAATTTTTTCTTATATTTGTGGTGCGCAAAATCTACGGATGCCCGGCTCAATCACTGTCGGGTGGTGTTTATTGCATTCTCCCTTACTCCATTGCAGCGGCGAACCGCGGAGCAGCTGATCATGATGTACACACAGAGGGGTTTGGCCGTGGAGCTGGACGGGACGGGAAGTGTTCTCAGCAGCTTGCACGACCCCGCGGGGTTAAAGGTGAAGGAGGTCGTCGAGGCGATCGACAACGACGGGGCCGTCTACGTGGCAGCCCGTCATCAGAAGGCGGTGGTGAGGGTCATCAAGTCACACAACGATCTCTCGGCCGTTTCGGCCGTCCAGGTGAGAGTGGCACGCGAAACGTAATGTAATGGTCATCTGAAGTCATTGTTTGAGCTGTCAACCAGGGCCGCGCAGAGGTCGAGTAAATCGCTCGGGACCCTGACCGCATGGAAGCTCCAAATGCCGGAATTTTTATATATATATTTTTTTTTTAAACATATAAACAGCTATTTTGAAATTAATGGAGGGACCAAAATTTTGATTCACTTGGAGCCCAAAAATTCTCTAAATGGCCCCCGCTCTCAACTATAATTAGATCGTCCAATGCCAAAAATTTTCTAAATGGCCCCCACTCTCAACTATAATTAGTTCGTCCAATGCCAATAATTTTCTAAATGGCCCCCGCTCTCAACTATAATTAGATCGTCCAATGCCAATAATTTTCTAAATGGCCCACGCTCTCAACTATAATTAGATCGTCCAATGCCAAAAATTTTCTAAATGGCCCCCGCTCTCAACTATAATTAGATCGTCCAATGCCAAAAATTTTCTAAATGGCCCCCGCTCTCAACTATAATTAGATCGTCCAATGCCAATAATTTTCTAACGTCCAATGCCAATAATTTTCTAAATGGCCCACGCTCTCAACTATAATTAGATCGTCCAATGCCAAAAATTTTCTAAATGGCCCCCGTTCTCAACTATAATTAGATCGTCCAATGCCAAAAATTGTCTAAATGGCCCCCGCTCTCAACTATAATTAGATCGTCCAATGCCAATAATTGTCTAAATGGCCACCGCTCTCAACTATAATTAGATCGTCCAATGCCAAAAATTGTCTAAATGGCCCCCGCTCTCAACTATAATTTGATCGTCCAATGCCAATAATTGTCTAAATGGCCCCCACTCTCAACTATAATTAGATCGTCCAATGCCAATAATTTTCTAAATGGCCCCCGCTCTCAACTATAATTAGATCGTCCAATGCCAATAATTTTCTTTGGAGTGAGAACTGTTATAGAAGGCAGCCTGTTGTTATTATAATAAATACAGATTTAGCTTGAAGTTTATCTTTTTTATGAAACAAACAGTAACTAATTAGTACATAAAGCGCTCTATAATTGTTTTTTCCTCCGCAGGTACTTAGAAGTCGGTGTAGAATCGCCGATGACCAAGTCAGCTCTTCCAAAGTGAAAATGGAGCAGGAGATACAAAATCGGAAATCTCCACCTGTCGGAGGTCAGGGACCGGTCAACTTCATTGCATACTCATCTTCAGACCTAGCCCCTCAAAACTTTCCGAGCCAATTTCAGCAAAACTCTGGAATGCTGCCAACAAATAGGCCTCCAACACAACAAGCTCACAAGCCCAGTTTGACCCCCGCCGCCCCTGCCATTTCTAGATTGGAAACAATCAGGATGGGCCTGTCCCAGCTTCACAATACGCTGGCCAACGTCCCGAGATTATCCGGTTATCGTCCACCCGGGCCTTCTGGTTTACCAACGAGCCAGCCTAGAGTGCTGACTTCGCAGCAGTATCCAGGGATCTACCGACAAAGGCTTCCGGTTCAAATGATGCCTGGGTATGTGAACCAGGTTCAACAGTCACCAAACAGTCAAAACGCTGCCCCGAGCATTCAGTCGGTTGACCCCTTCCTCCCGGCGGGTGTTTTGGCCAACAACTTCGTTCAGCCCCTGAAGCAGATACCTCAGAGTGACACCTCCGTCCCGGGTCACGCCGTCAGGGCAGAGCACGGGTCACCCACGTCCCCGCTCGTCGTCCACCGGATGGAGAATGGTGAGCTCGTGACCCATGTGCTCATAGGCAACGATTTTAAGATTCCGGATCAGAGGAGCACAACGACACGCCCACCGGTCCAGAATAATGTTGTTGTCAATCAACAGAACATCAGACCTGTTCTCCCTACTTTGCCGACAGCAGAAAAGAATCCACACGTCCCACCCCCCAACCCGACTTCTCCCAAGGCACCTCCCACATTCAACACGCCGCCTCCGATCCAGGATTTACCGGGGACCCTAGGCGGATTTTTCGATTTAATTCACGGATCCTCCCATGTTAAAAAAGACGTGACTCCACCCCCAGAGCCCACCCCTGGCGCGCCCCTTCCTGATCACGGAGCACTGATTCATGCTGGATCTCCGTATTTCCCAGGGGCGTCACACTCCGAAGCCCACAACAACACGCCCTCCGATTTAGGTTTGGTGGATGGGGTTGAAACAACGACCGGTGCTGCTCAGAAACGGCTCGAAGCCAACCCGCAAGACATTTCAAGTAAGGCGGCCACAGATGTGCAACAAATGCAGATGTTCCATCCGTCAGAACGAGCTGAAGCCATGAACCTGGCGCAAAATAACGCGAATCCTAAGGCATCCGCGGCATCGCCCGTACCCGGGAGGGCATCATTTCTTAAGCAGGGACTTCAGATGCTGCAGCAATATTTTAAACACGCCAAGTCGACGCCACCACCCCTGCTGGTACCCGAAGATGTGCCCACGCAGACGCCGATGAAACCCGACGGGATTCTGAAACCCCACGAGACGCCAGGCCAGGTTGACAAAAATCAAAATCTCCGCGAACCAAACGCGATCACAACTTCTTCGCCCCTTGGCCTGGACAAGCAAAAAGACCAGGAGATGATCAACGGCATGATAAAGCGAGATCAGATGGCGTCCTTCTCGGGAGCGGCAACCATACACCCCAATCAGCCACTCAACGACGTTGCGGTTAGAGAATCGCAGAACGATCTTCAAGCAAAACATTTCCAAATCGCTGAAGGGCAACCATTGTCGCTGCCACCACAGTCACCGCAGCCCCTACACGGAGAGTCAGTCCCATCGCCGGACGAAGGCAGCTACATTAAAATTGTTCAGGGACCGGGGAAATATATTCTAATACCATTAACTCAAAGTACGCTTATGCAAGCTCTCGGTGGAGTGTCGCTTAATAATATTCCAAACCGTCCGCCACAAGCTTTAAATTCACCTACTGCGAACAACGCTTTCCGTCAAACCACACAGCCCAACTGGATGGTGCCACAAAACCCAGAACAATACCGGTCTCCAAACGGACCTACGCAACCAGTTCCCAATGCCTGGGGAGCCAACACACCACCCCCTGGCGCCAACTTCCAGCAGAGTCATCCACCAAATAGCGCCCCTCCAAATTTCCACCAATTGACTATTCCCACGTGGCATTTGAACCAACAGCAAGTGGGATCCTCGCAACCAGGGTCAACCACGGTGGTGCCCATGCCGAGCTGGCAAAACGTGCCAACGTCGGGTTGGCCTTTAACTCAAACCAATAACGCTCCAACTCAGCAAACAACATACAACATGCCACAACCGTTGCCAGGAAGCAACCGAGCTCCCCAAGCCTGGTCCGGGGCTCAGACTTCAGCTTCCAGCACAATGACTACACCCCAGCAAAGTTGGCAAACATCTCAACAAGGTCGGACTACCAATGGACCCAGCCAAAACCCAATTGCAGTTAGCTCGCCTCAAACCCGTCGGGAGATTGACCCGACGACGCAAACATCGTTCCACAGTAACACGCCCGCAAATGCATCTGAGGATAACTCTGGGAGCTCTCAGATTTCTAAATCGAGCGATCCCACTAAGTACCAATGGCAGACAAATAACACACCACCCCAAAATTGGCCCACAATTAATCCATCCACACAGGGATGGCCCACAAATAACCCACAAACCCAAGCATGGCCCACAAATGGCCCACCAACACAGGCATGGCCCATAAATGGCCCACCAACACAGGCATGGCCCATAAATGGCCAAACAGCTAATTCATGGCCAACAAATAACCCACAAAGCCAATCGTGGCCAACAAATAGCCAACCAGCACAGTCATGGTCTACAAATAATCCAATACAATCATGGCCTACAAATAGCCCACAGACACAGTCATGGCCTACTAATAGCCCAACAACACAATCATGGCCCACAAACAGCCCACCAACACAATCATGGCCCACAAATAGCCCACAGACACCGTCATGGCCTACTAATAGCCCAACAGCTCAACCATGGCCTAGCAATAGCCCACAGACACAGTCATGGCCTAATAATAGCCCACCAACTCAATCATGGCCCAGCAATAGCCCATCGACACAATCATGGCCCACTAATAGCCCACAGACACAGTCATGGCCTACTAATAGCCCAACAACACAATCATGGCCCACAAATAGCCTACAGACACAGTCATGGCCTACTAATAGCCCAACAACTCAATCGTGGCCCAGCAATAGCCCATCAACACAATCATGGACAACAAACAGCCAACAGACACAACTGTGGCCTACAAATAACCCAACAACACAACAATGGCCCACAAACGGCCCATCAACGCAATCATGGCCCACGAATAGCCCACAGACACAGTCATGGCCTACTAATAACCCAACAATACAATCATGGCCCACAAATAGCCCGACAACACAACAATGGCCTACAAATAACCCTTCGACACAATCATGGCCCGCAAATAGTACACCAAACCAGTCATTCCCATTTCAGCAATCATGGTCCACCAGTAATTCCCCTACCGAAACATGGCCGAAAACAATCACACAAACATCAACTACCCTGGGTTACAACCAGCCCGGCCAATCTTCACCACCACAAACCACCCAACATGTGGCTCCCAATTCCACGTCAATCCAGCAATTTCCAACAACATCCAGTCAGCTTCCCACCGCGCATGAACAAAACAACGGAAGCTACGTGCCAACGACGGTCCAAGCAAATGACGCAACGTCCGGGAAGACTTCGCAACAGATGGATCAGACGTACGTTACACAATGGCAGGCTTCACCCGTGAACTGACTCCTGTCGGACACCTTTTCTCGCAAATTTTGACTTTGAACAAACTTGTACAGGATAAAACAATGACTGAGGTTAACCTGAGTTGGGCGTCTACAAGAATTATGATGATCTGCCAAGAATGTGGGAATTCAAATGACTCTCGGGCGACTTCGAATAAGAGATGATAAGTTCAGCTTTAGAGACTTGATGGGGAAGGAAATGCCATTAACAGTTAATCAGCGTGAACATAATTCTAAAGAAAAAAAAAAAATTTTTTTTTAAACATGCTAAACAAACCAAGTAAATTTAAATTCAGTGCAGATCTATGAAGCATAATTGGAAACAGTTTTCTGATGTGATCTGGCGCTAGGTTTATCAGATATATCTGCCCTGAGCGATCGCATAGGAGATATCTGCTGCCAGCCAGAAGCCATGCAGATATGTACCAGCGGAAGCCAGATATCTGCCTGGCAGCAAAGACTTAATATCTGGCTGTCCGACGGCTGTTAAATCTATTTTACATTCAGGGAATACGTTCAGCTTTTAATTTTCAATTTTTTGTTTATTTTATTATTTTAAACAATAGTTTTATACTCTCACCTGTCAACATCTGTTTAATAAATACAAGACATTTTTATTACTAATTTCTGTTGTGATTTAATTTTAATTTTGTATATCTATACTAGCGCACATCTGACCGACAGTGGCAAACCTATGGAGGAGCGACAAAATATATATTTTAATAAGGGTATAAAAAGTAAACTTTTGCAATTGAAAACTTTTTTTTTTAAATACTTCTTTATAATTTAGTTTATCATGATTTTTAATCATTTCCCCCTCTCTTACTTTTGTCTTTTACCCCGGCTGGGGCATAGGCAGTCTACAGTCGACAGGTCTTTTCCAGTCCTCTCGTTCCTGTGCTTTCCTCTCTAGCTGCTTCAAGGTGCATCCTATACTTTGTGTGTCTGCCTCTAGTTCGGTTCTCCATATACTTTTTGGCCTTCCTCTTTTCCTCCCCCCCCCCCAGTGGATTCCATTCCCTGTCTTGCTTTGCTATTATTTGAATTTCAACGTAAAGCCTAAAAATGAGTGAAACCTATACTTTTTTTGTCTGCCTCTAGTTCGGTTCTCCATATACTTTTTGGCCTTCCTCTTTTCCCCCCCCCCCCCCCAGTGGATTCCATTCCCTGTCTTGCTTTGCTATTATTTGAATTTCAACGTAAAGCCTAAAAATGAGTGAATTAAAAAGATATGTTTCCCTACACAACAGCAAAGCAGACTTTGTTTACCTCCGTTAAGCTGCTTACTTTTATGTATTATTATTATTTTTTATAATCAGCTCTTCGTCTGTGCGCCAAATTTTTTTGTTTTTTTTTTAAATTTGACAATTTCTGCACTTACAATGTTTAGCTCCCATCAATTATTAATAATAATAATAATAAGGGGTCTTATATAGAGCGTACCCCAGCCTAGGGCTGGGCTCACCGCGCTGTACATAAAAATTTTATCAAAAGAGACATAATCATGACATTAAAATAAAATACATTTATGCAAAAAAAAATGTATTTTCACCCACCCCCAACACATAACTTTTGCAAGGCAAACCATGGACGGCAGCCAGCAAGATCGTTTATCGTTCAGAGGGGAACCACTCAGGGTAGTATAATTTTAAAAAGATGTGTTTTGAGTGCAGTTTTGAAGTCCTGAGTGGTTGGTATATTGCGTATGTGTAGTGGCAAAGAATTCCATTGTTTGGGGTCGCAGAAAGAAAAAGATCGTTCACCATATGTTTTAGTGTGTGTGTCTTGGGAACGGACAGAATACGCGTGTCTGCAGAGGAGCGAAGCTGTCGATTTGGAACACACCGTTTAACCAATAAAATATAAGAGCAAAGTGTGCTAAACTTGAATTCATAAACAAGACAAAAATATATTTTGTTTTGTTTATGAATTCAAGTGTAGCATACTTTGTTCTTATATTTCATTTACACAACTTGAATGCAGTCCATCAATTATTATCTTTTAAGCAATAAACCAGGTTTGTCTATCGCTGTCACTGTTTTATTTTTTTGTTCTTTTTTGTAGTTATCGTTGTAAAATAACATAAGTGTCCCGAATTTTTTTACCGATTTCTAAACTGTGTTATTAATGAACTTGTTGATGATATTACTTTGAAGGAAACAAAATACCGAACAGAATCTTATTTTTTTTTATCTTTCTGAAAATGTGAGGGTTTAGCTTCAGGTTTTTTTCAAATTAACTGAATTGTTGTTTTTTGTTGTTGTTTTTTTTTAATGCAATAACACTTTTAATATTTCAGAGAAGATCGCTGATAAAAATCGGTTCAAAATATCTCAAAGTGACGGGCTTTTATATTACACTTTAGAATAAAATATTTAGTTATTGTAGAAGGTTTGTGTAAGAAAAAGAACACACATATTACTAAAGCTAATAAGTCGATATCTTCTATGACACCGTTACACCCCTTGTCCCCGAGAAGGAAAAAAAAGTATGTGTGTTTGGGGGGGGGGGGGCATCATAATGAAAAACGTCAAATTTAACAGAGGTCTCGTGTATGACAGAGAACACGGAAGGAATACAGAAGCTGAGATCAGCTTTTGTTTTTCTATAAAAATATTTGGAACTCTAGATAAATAAAGAGAAAGACTTACAAACAAAATAGAGTTTGGAACGCAAATGTTCATTTTGTTATGATTCATGGTTCAGAAACCTCTCTAGGGTAACAAAGAAGACAATATACGTCACTATCATAAGACCAGTAGTAATTTACGCTAGCGAGACTTTGTCCTTTACCAGAAAAGCAGAGAACCTGCTCAATACATGGGAGAGGAAAATCGTCAGAAAAAAATATGTCCCAGTGATAAAAACAATTATGTTTGGAGAATCTGTACAAACCAAGATCTATACCAATTGTACAAAGACCTACTCTAGGTCGCAACAATAAAAAGGGCAGACTGCGCTGGACTGGACATATTGAGAGGATGCCATAATGTAGAGCAGCAAAAATGATATACAGGCAGAAACCCAGGGGCAGGCGGCTCACCGGTCTATCAAGTCTGAGATGGATCGACGATGTAGAAAAAGACTTACACCAGTTGGGGGTTCACGCAAGGCTCGGTCCGAATGGAAGGATGTGGTGGAGCAGGCGAGGGTCCTACACTGGCTTTAGGCCACTGATGATGATGCTCATCATGGTTCAGAAAGCTGTTGATCAACAAAGAATGCTTGGGAAAGACTTCAAAGCTTCTTGAATTGTTGCCTGCGTAAAGTCCCAGATACAGAAGTGAGTGAAATGCCGTCACAAATCCCAGCAAAGCAAGAAATGCGGAAAGGAAAGTTAAGATGGATAGGTCACATTTGAGATGCTTCTGTTTGATTTGTACCATTCGCTTTCCCTCCTATTTTATGTTATGCATATATTTTGTATCTGTTTCTTTTAAAATGATTTTTATTTTATTTTTAACATAAAAAATAAAGCAGCTCAAAAGAAGAATAAAGAAATGTGAGTCTGTTTTGCAAATGTATCTAAGAAAACGTAACTTTTATGGAGCAGACAAACAGCCGAGTGGTAGTGTACATAATTTTTGAAAATTAAAATCACAAAGACTCAAAAAGATTGTAAATGGTATACAGGCTCGAAGCAGCTCAGCTCCATTGTCAAAAACAGACAATCTTGACGCCAAAAAAATGATTTTCCTAAATCTGAAACTAAAGTTGGTTAATATTGGTCAGTCTTTTGAAGATGCGCCACAAACAGGTGCTTCTTTGTGAGCAGTACATGAGAAGCTTATTCTTCAACAGCTCGAAAATGAAAGACGTTATTGGAGTAGAGTTTCAAGAACTGTTGTTTCCACTGTCAAACTTCATTTCCTTATATATATTTTGCTTGTGGTGTGACTGCTTCCGTTTCCGGGTAGCGCTCAAAATATAATTCATGATAACTCGCAAGATGATTTTTTTTTTAAACGCAACTGCATTTGGTGTGTAATATTTTCTTTTCGGAAAATGAAATCGTCTCAATTAAAATATGATGTAATAAGAATTCGGTTTAAAAATGGTTGGGACATCAGAATATTTATAGAGTGCATAGGCGTAAAATAAAAAATGTGCAATGAAGTATCATGGGGGAAGGGGTGTAGCAAAACTTGGGATTCTTAAATGTGCGTTACTTGAGTTCATGTTTTGTCAAATAAAGTAAGTAGATGGGAAGTTCACGCATTGCTGTCACCAATGTTAGTCGAGCTATAACTAGTATTGAATGTTCTGGTCATGGTAAAACATAAATTTATCGTCTACAATTTAACGAAGAATTTATCGTTCTGATGGCCGGAAAAGTTATGAAAACAATAACAACCGAAAGGCAAGCCACTAAATATATTAAATTCAGTGTCGATTCAAAACCACATAATTCTTATACTGATCAGGACAATATTCTGGAATCCAATCAAGATTTCTATAAATAATCCAAATCCATACATTCCGTATATGGCTCGCTTGCTCACTTTGTCATGTCGTGTACACATGCAAAAAAAATTTTAAAAATATGTTTTTAAAATATAGGTTGTTGTGGGTTTTTTTTCATCATCACCTTATCGGTAGAGAGTGTTGGGAAAATAGAAATGAAATTAAGGAAACAAGTAACAGACAAGATTAATCTGATAAAAAGTTCAGACTCTCACAAACACTTGCCTTAGAAAGATCCTGAACATGAAGTGGCCCAACAATTATACCCAACCACACCTTACTTGAATGAACATACGAAGACCTTGTTGCTGACGGCATCACGTGGACAGGATGGAGGTGGAGTGGGTACACTCTCCGGAAACCCCCAGAAAGCATCACCAGACAATCCTTAACATGGAACCCACATGGGAAAAAGAAAAATGGACGACTAAAGAATGCACGGAGACGCGAGGTGGTGGCATTCACCAGACAATCCTTAACATGGAACCCACATGGGAAAAAAGAAAAAGTGGCCTGCCAAAGAATGCCCGGAGACGCGAGCTGGAGGCAGACACACAAAGTGTAGGATACACCAGGAAAAGAACGCGCAAGCTAGAGATGAGTGGACAATTCTTGTAGACTGCATATGGTGGGGAAAGGCAGATGTTAAGTAAGAACGAGTATTTAAACAAAATGCCAATGAAACCTTAAAATTTAACTAATTAAATAATTGGCTGATTAAATGGATCCAGTTATAATTCAGATTTATAAAGTAAGATAATTATTTAAGAATTTAAATTTCTAAATATTGCACTGATCAATTATCATTTAGTGCAGGGGTCCCCAAACTTTTGAGCCCGGGGGCCGCATTACCTATCAAAAAGCAGTTCGGGGCCGACTACACACTCGAGGTCCAAATAAAAAAGAATCAAAACATGGATGTTGTTTTTAATTATTTATTTAATATTATTTTATTCAGTTATTATTTAATAACACATTGATACACCACACATGAACATCTGTATTAGTGGGAATGGTGAAAATGTTTCCTGGATGCAACAATAGCAGACATTTCTGGCTTTAGTAGTGATGTCCCTAACATCAACAGTGACCTGAGATTATCATCGGGCAAGTTTGTTCTCAAACTGTTCTTCGCGTATTTCATTATTGAAAATGTTTGTTCACTCGGGTATGTTGTGCCAAAGATTGAAAGGTACCTTGATGCAAAAGTTTTGACATTAGGAAAGTCTTCCTTGGGCAAAAACTGGTAAAAACCCACC